TGTGTCTCTTTGTCGTACATGTGGCTGCGCTGGTGTCTCCTTGTCGTCCATATGTGGCTGCGTTTGTGTCTCTGTGCCGTACATGCTGCTGACCCGTGGTGCACGCTGCTGCGCTGTCTTGGAACGGTTTGTACATGCCGCTGCACCGTCTTCTGTCCCTTCCGTATGCATTCTTTCTCATCTCGTCCCCGTTTTATACGCATTTTCTCGTCTTGTGTCCGTTGTGTTTGTCTGGTTGCTATCTTGTGTCTGTCGTATTTCCTCGTCTGCCGTCTTTGTCTCCCGTCCCGTTCGGGACTTGTTGTACTATTCACATGCACCTCTTTCGTCTCCCTCACCCCACTTTTTCCACGTCCCCACAATATATTCTCTTGTCCTGTCTTGTGGGAGCTCAGTTCTCCAGTCGGCTACTGAAGTCAAAGCTCTCTCTCAATTTGTACTAGTCCGTTTGTTGTGTGGCGTGGCGAGGAGCGTAGAGGCAGTTCGTTTTCACAACCCGAGACGACATTTGGCGCCCAACGTGGGGCTCGAATCCACGACCCTGAGATTAAGAGTCTCGTGCTCTACCGACTGAGCTAGCCGGGCTCCATGGACTAACCAACTCTCTGTCTTGGTCTTCACCTTCCTCAAGCACTCTTCCGTCTGACAGTAAAACCTGGATTAAGCGACCTTTGGTATTAGCAACCAACTGATTTTAGGCCAAGTAAAAAAATTGATTGTTTATCGTCCGCGCCCGCCCCGAATTTTCACCCTCCCGGCCAATTTTTTAATACAGTAAAACCCGTAATGGCGACCACTCGGATATGGCGACCACGCGACCATGGCGACCACTTTTTGCACGGTGACCAGGCGACTGGTGTACGCATGAGCACGTGACCGCTTACTCAACCGTGTTCGATTGGGAATACGGGCCGAACGCTGCATCGCAGCCTTTTCGGACCAAGACCATTCAACTCAGCACCCAAAGACTACAACTGGTCAAAATTTGATTGGTATACTTCCCCTTTAACGACCTTTTTTTCCATGCACCCGCAGTTCTGCATTAGAAGCTGCACAGGAAACGACGACCGGCTATTAGTGTGCACCAAGGGCTAGGTCTTGGCTGCATACAATGGCCAAAAGTGCAGTTCCGGTTGACAGGCTTGACTGCAACCGGGCTGAAATGCGCTCAGAAGCGAGTGCATGCGGGCTACGGAAGCGACAAGTGACAGTGCAGGGTGCGCTGGATGCACTTGAGCGAGGTGTTAAAACTCGTGGGTGTGTGTGTGTTGATGTGTGTGTGTGTTGATGTGTGTGTGTGCGTGTGTGTGTGTGTGCATGCGTGTGTGTGTGTGCATGCGTGTGTGTGTGTGTGTGTGTGCTCGCGTGTGTCTGTTTGCTTGTGTGTGTGTGTGTGCGTGCACGTGGTAACCGCATGCATCTGCGTTTTGTCCCCGCTCTCATCGCAGCGTCAGCCTGCAGCGACGACCGGTTTGAGAGCAGCATGGCCCGCAAGTGCTTCTCCACGACACACGCTTCATCGTCGTCTGCCAAGACTGGCACAAGGCCACAAGCCGTCGAGCGCAGCATGACGGTAACGACAACCGGAACCGATGTCGGTAAGTTATCATAGGGTGTTCTATCTCACACGCGGAATCCGTCGAAAAGAAAATGACCATGTGGCTCAGGTTTCACGTATACCTGCTCTAGTGTTGTGCAACGCGCTTGTCATTCGCGCAATTTCAAGTCTTTAATAGCACGTTCAATAATAGCATGTTTTACTGCACTTCACTGCGCAATGGGCATGTCATTCATCGCTCCCAGGCCTGATCCGTTTTCATTGTTGAAATAATCAATGAGTGGAACTGTGAAAACTCTCTTGGGCAAACACCAAGTGACCAATGGTAATTTTGTTCGCTATATTGGGAGTTCTTCTTATCCATACCCTGTACACAGTGAAGGCACAGTGATTGATCCCATAGAGAGAGTCTTATCAGTGTTGTCCTAATAGGCGATTCAGACCACGGCCAAATGTGACCACGTTTCTACGACTCGGACGTGTTTGATCAGGGAGTGTACATAAAATTTTGAAACACGGCTGCATCACCACAGAAATTCAAGTTCAGACGTGATTTTGGCCGTAGTCTGAATCGCCAATTAACAAGCACTACAAGTAGTGCTTCTATTGCTAAAGTTTTGAGTTTAGAAACGAGAGTCCTCCGGCTAGGTAGAGTGCTCAATATTAGTTCGAATAGAGCTAACGTTATCTTACACACGGCACAGAACGCCACGCGTCATTCGCGGCAACTAGTATTTTCGTGCCTATGGACATGAAACTATCAGTTGCAACGAATGATGCGTGGTGCTCTGCGTCTTGGGTAAAGTTTGAGTTTCAATGTTCTTCCTAACGGGAGTTTCCCTGTACGCTCTCTGTGTCTCTTTCCTGTCCATGCTGTTACCGTCGCTTTCCTTGTCTCCCCCCCCCCCCCCCCCCCGTCCCCCGTCGTCCCCAGACGAGTCTGGATTTGAAGACTGGACAGGCTGCACTCAGGAGGACGAGTCACAGCAAGATGTCACCGTGGATACGTCGTGGAACAAGCGAGACTCGCGCCAGCGGACCGGTCGCCAACGGCAACAGTCGGAGTCCTGTCTCAGCGAGGTGGACGAAATGGACCTGCAGTCCGTGTGCGTCCCGCACGCCGAGGCCGACCAGGCGTACTGCAGGTCGGCGGGCACCCCCGGAAGTCCCGACCAATCACAGCCGCCGGTGTGCCAATCAACTCCGGAATGTCGCAGCGTACTGGCACAGCCTCAGAACAGTCTCAGCGAGGATCTACTGTTATCGGACAGCATTTCGGCCAACAACACGCTTAACCTCTCATCCTTGGATGCCGACATCTCTACTAGTATCGTGGAGATCAGCCGCGAGGAAGTACCGGCCATTGCCGTGGAAACGGGGTCAGCGAAGGCGTCGCCCATGACGACCAGGAAGTGCAGACCCACTGCCGCCGTCGCGCCATTGATCTGCGGCGGCCGGAGTTGCTCCAGTGCCGACCCTCTGCTCCTGCCCGACGCCGTCATCACAGGGCCCGATGGTTACCATGACGATGGCAAAAGCTTCGTCTCGACCGGCGGTGCCGAACCTCAGCAAAACCAACTGTTCCTGCAAGGCCAACCGAAACGGCTAGGCTATTCGGCTACTACGCATGTGGAGCAGAAAAACCGACGCGTGCGGGATGATGCAGTCGACAAGTCTGGGAATTCCCTCTCTCCTCGACCGCATCAAGCGGATCACAAGACGAAATCATTGCCGCTTTACCAGGAATTTTCCGGTAAGTGTGTGTGTGTGTGTGTGTGTGTGTCTCTCTCTCTCTCTCTCTCTGTCTGTCTGTCTGTCTGTCTGTCCGTCGATGTGTATGTGTGTCTTTGTCGACATGGATTTATGTGTGTGGGTGCTGGCATGTGTGTTTGTGTGTGTGTGGGGGGGGGGGGGGTGTATAATTATATGTGTGTGTGTTACTTTTTAGCAACCTCCTATCAGTGTTCACAATGCTTTCTTATCCCATGTAGTTTTACTCCCAGTATGCTAATTACTGCGATCTTTGCTTGTCTGTGCGTGTGTGTGTGCATGTGCGTGTTTGTGTTTGTTTGTCCTCTCACAGACTCCGACTCATTCCTAGTGGGTGATGCATACTACTTCTGCTCGTCCAAGTAAGTCTTTGTTCGAATCATCAACAGTCCATAAACAAGAGTATGCGACTGGGATCTCTTTTCTATGGGACAGATGCGTGCGCACTGCCTTCATTACATCATTCAGCTGCAGTCCGCGCACGGCAGAAAATCAAACACCGCACTTTCCCTCTGGTTTGAAATGAACTTTCGTACGGGGCTGGAGTTCACGTGCCAACATTTAGAGATCGAGTAGGTACTGGAGTGAATCGAGCAAAATGGATGGGCTCGTACGAGAAATTGTGGGTTTGAGTGCATGGTTTCAGAGCGTGATGGAAGCAAGTTACGTAATGAAGGCAACGCGCCGCGCACTGACCCATAACCACAGTTGCATACTCTTGTTTATGCACTTTTGATGTCATGGATGCTGACCGTAGTAGAGAACTGCATACGGTAGGCAGCAGGGAGTGGTAAAAATGCCGGTATTTTTCCACTCCCGGGTAGGCGGGCCCCTCAGGTCGCATGCTTATCTGACTTTTTTCGGTTTATATACAGCACGCGATATTCGCGCCACTAAGTTTTCATGGTTTCTCAGAACTAGCAAGTTTACGGTGGCAATTGTTCGCGGAGAACTGAGGCCACACGCATACACACACTCTAGTACAGTCCTGGCATCTGAAATCCGACCCCTCGTTCACATTCAAGCAGCCTCTATTTCGTAGTTTCATAATCCCGTGTTGCGTCTTTGCGATGTGGGTGCACCGCTCAGGGGTAGGATTTCAGTTGCCAGCAATGTACATGTGATTTGACTTCATGCTGTTCTAAATTCGATTTTGGGTCTTCTCGCGAAAAAGAGAATATACATGCATGTACATCGAGAACATTGGGCAGTTTAAAGTGAGTGCTTTGAATCTGTGCTGTTCTTTTTGCACGCAAACCCGTTTCTTCTAGGTTTTTGTTGGTTTTATGGGCAGCCTCAGTCTTCCATTAGTATTCGTATCCTATCCGGACTTCCCTGGCTGGGTTAGGCTTTAACAGATGACAGGCTGATTAATATGGTCACTGCTGTGTGCGCGCTTGTGCGTGTGTGTGTGTGCTCGTGTGTGTGTGTGTGTGTGTGTGTGTGTGTGCGCACGCGCGTATGCATGGATGCGTATGTGTACGTGTATGTGCATACCTGTTCTCTGTCTGTGTGTTTGTGTACATACATTAAACTCTTTTCTTCTCACACATTATCTTCTCTCCTTGTGTGTGTGTGTGTCTCTAGACCTTCAATGACGGACTGCTCTTCCATCGACTCGCGCTAAGCTCCGTAGCCAGTACACCTTTTAGAAAGACACTTAGCATTGCACGAACAGCCACCACCTCCGACTCAACGTCGAGTCTGCTCGCACCGTCGTCCGGATATGTGGCTGTACACTTCCGCAATGGCCGTTTGACCCCATCCCCGGACGTCTGTCAGCTCGTCACCGACAGCAGAACATTTGCACGCGTTCGCAGCTCGAGCTCAAGCGGCCACACAACACACACACACATACACACACACACACGCACACAGACATCTCAGTTAGGAGTAACGACAGTGCTCGGCTTCACACTTCACATTACTCGCTCACTCACTCGCTCACTCACTCACCCGCAAGTGTCAACAGCGATTGCGCCTTGCCCCGGGCCGGCTGTAGCGCTACGCCAGTCTCCCCTCCAGATATTGTGACTTTAACCATCGGCCACCTCTGCCGCCACTGTAAGAAGACTATAATGTCGCTGTGCACGCTATATGAATACACGTAGGTCGGTAGCTACGCACATCACCATGACAACCAACGCACTAGATTAGCACGTCGTCGCACACGGTGCACGAGTAGATCGGTAGCTATGCATATCGCCATGCCAACGGAACACGGTCCGGCTGAGCGCGGCCTATGCTGTTCGGCACCGTCCGCTCCCGTTGACCCAGTGCGTGCTCCGCTGCACTTCAAATCGTCATTCTCAACCGGGTCCGAGTAGATTAGCAAGTGAGTTCGACAGACAACGGGGATATCCAAGCGGTTCAGTCGGACGGAGTGCAATGCCTAATTAGTTGCTTGGAGTGGCATCATGGCTCTCTGACTGTGAACAATGCTGCGGGCATGGTACGGGGACTGTTCCCTGCTGGTCCGTTTGCCAAATTTGGACACTTCTTCCACCGAGTTAGTCTATGGTGGAAAAGAATGCCTGCTGTTAATTTTTTGTCAATGTGCGGGCTGCGTGTGCGCGAGTGTGTGTGTGCGTGCGAGCGAGCGAGCGAGCGTCTGTGAGCTTTACTGCAATTCAATTATTTGTGAGTGCATAATGCGGCTGAAGCCTAGTGCGAAATAGTTTATTGACATCAATATCCCACGCTGCTAACTGATAAACCAAGCATATGAAGACCAATGTTCGATACTATCCCTTTCTTTTTCTGTAGCGCTTGCCCTTGACCCCAGCCCCACGTTTCTATTGCGTTGCTTCATGCATCCGCCGCCCCTTCTTGTCTTCTCTCCATTCGACTTTTAACACAACGCCAACCTTTAGTCATATTTCTAATGAATGATTCATTTGCTGATTATAACGCCCCTTTTTCCTGACTCTTTCTATATCATTCCCTTTCTTTTTCTGCCCTTGACCCCAGCCCCATGCCAACCTTTAGTCATATTTCTAATGAATGATTCATCCGCTGATGATAATGCCCCTTTTCCCGAGTCTTTCTATATTTTCTGCTAGCCTATAGCCCGCATTCCGAGTTTCTCTCGCAGCAGATCGTTCTCTGCTTTCCCTGTGTATTACGCCTCGCTGGACTGGTGACATTGGTGCAGTAGGTCAGCGGCGGATCCAGCGATCTCTACAGGTAGGGTTCCAGTGTAGCCAAAACTGAGTACCGTATTATCTCTCTTATAAACACAGGTCTCCATTATAAACACAGGTCTCCATTATAAGCACAGTCTCCATTATAAGCACAGGCCGGAGAGCTGTTGAGATTACAAACGCACAGTCTCCAACATAGTCACAGTGATAATACTGGAATGCAGCTGTGCGCATGCGCTTACCTTGAAATGACGTATGCGGGCGGACACGTTCTCGTACGTTATCGAACTCGTACTCCAGAGCTAAAAAAAAAGTGCTCCACGGTCACGTGCGGGACTTCCACTTCCGCATCAACTTTCTTGACTTTTTCAAGGTTGAAAAAATATAAACACAGTCTCCAGTATTATCACGGTCTCCTCTATAAGCACGGGTGCGAAGTGGGTTGAAAAAATATAAGATTAAGTACCGTGTTTATAAGGGAGATAATACGGTACAGTGAAACCTGTCTAAGACGACCGCTCAAGGGACCTTCAAAGTGTGGTCTCTGTAACCAGGTGGTCTCCTTATCCAGGGTCATTTGACTGGAAATAGCATCCCTTGGGGCTGCTGTTCACTGGAAAGCGGAACATTTCTGCGTGGGCACATTTCAAGTTTGCGGTTTCATACCGTGACTGGCAGACATGTTGTTGACAATCAACTTTTAAAATTTTGGCAAATTGGATAATTGTGGTCGCGCAGAGGCGTCAGAACTGGTGCGGCGGCAGGTGTGGCCAAATCAGCAGCAGCAATAATCTCATCTTGGGATTTTTTGAAGCAATGGAAGTCTGCATTATGGGCTATGTGGGCCCAATTTCCCTAACATTTTCCCGGGGGAGGACCCCTGGGCCCTCCACCCATTCATGCATGGCCGCACCACGGTCGAATACCTTCCGACGCCCCTTGTGCAGCGTGTGGTACACCATGTGATGTCGTGGACCTGGTAGTAGAGGCTGGTACAGCAAGATTATGATTATACCGGTAGTTGCATTG